TGCGCCGCGGGGCGCGACGGCAGCTGACGCGAGCGTCGCCATAGTCGTTGCAGCGACGGGGTCGGCGCCGGGAGACGTCACTTCGCACTCATCGCACAGGGGCGCGATGCGCGCCTCTCCCGCGGGGCGCGCCGCGGTGCAACGAACGCAATGTCAATGCGCTTGTAAATATCTGCAGACCGGCTTCGCCTGGGCGCCGCGGCGGAAGCCACTGGGCGGGCGCGGCTGCGGCCCAGGCCGCCTGCGTTATCTTCGCGGAGCGCGGCTGCAGCCGCTGCCCGGGGCCCGCCTGCAAGTCCACGCCCGACTCCAACGCCGGCGCGCTAAACGTCTGGGGCACCGCCGCCTGAACTTCGGCAACGCCCGTGCCTGCGGGCGCGGTTCCAAACCCGATCTCCGCCGCTGCCGCGGCTGTTCATCGGCCGCGAGCCAGGAGTGGGGCGCGAGAGGGCCCCCCCAGTCATCTGTGTTCGCGCACAAGGTTGCGGGGGCGCCGGCCGCTCGCCCCCCCCTCCCGCCCCGCGCCCCCCCGCTCCCCGCGCCACAAACTGCGCTCGACCGCAAGGATGAAGAGGCTGAACTACGACCGCCCTCTCGAGTCCACGCGGCGCGCTCGAACGCATCTTCGGATGTTTGCCGGGCGCCGGCGCGCGCCGTGCTCGCGCGCGCCCGCGCGCGCGCGTCCACGCCGCGCTGCAGCGCCGCGCTGGGGGCCCGCGGGGCTGCAGAAGCAAGCGGGTGACCAACTCGCCCAACAAAAGCGCGCGCTTGCAACGCGCGGCCAGGGGGTCCAGCACGAAGCCAGGGTGACTCATGTTCCCCTGGCACTTGAGCGTCCGCCTACGCCTGGCGTAAACTGCCCCCCAGGGCGCCTTCATCCCCCGAGCCTCGTTCACATGCGGCGCGTGGCCCCGTGTCGCACTGCGTATGTTACTAGACCTCGGGTCTACCTGAATCCGCCCGCTCGCCGGCATGTCGGCGCGGCGCAGCGCGCCCCAGCTCGCCCCGGGCCCCTGGCCTCCCATCCATTCTCGCTTCTACTGCAGCTGCTGCTATTCCTTCTCGCGCTCAGCTCGCCATCGCCACCCCCGCCCGGTCGATCGCAGCATCGCCGCCGCCGTGGCCGCAGTCCGGGGCCGAATCGCGGCGCGCGCTTCCTCCGCTCAGCGCGCGGCGAGGGGCGCGGCCCAGTCGCGGCGAACTGCTCGCCAGTCACGTCGCCGCGTATCCACCGCCGCGCGCGCGAGAGGGGTGCGAGGAGGAGGACGTGTGGGGTTCGAGGAGGAGGAGGAGGAGGAAGAGGAGGAGGAGGAGGAGGAAGAGGAGGGGGAGGAGGAGGGGGAGAGGAGGAGGAGGAGGAGGAGGAGGAGGAGGAGGAGGAGGAGGAGGGCCGTCGGCCAGCGCGCTGCGCCCGACGGTCTGCGATAGGCCATGCGCTCGTCTACTCTGTGGCCTGCCCTCCTCGCCCGGAAGACGTTGGCCTTCGCTTCGGCGACAGGTCGCCGCCGCGACATTGGCCCCCCTTCGCCTGCGCCCGCCCGCGGCGCGCGCGCCCCCGTCGCCCGCCCGCGGCGGCGCTGGCCAGGGCCTTGGGCGAATTGGACCCTGGCGCCACTAATCTCTAAAGGTCTTTTGTGAAAACCCTCCCGCAATAAGTGAAAAATAAATATTTTTTTGGGGGGCTTATTGACGGACTGGGCCCCGCGCAATAGCGGAAAATAAATATTGCCCCCGCTGCGCCCCGGCTCCCCCAACTGGCTCACGAGGACCGCCCCTAGTGAGTCGCAGCAGCGATGGGGGCGCATTGCTGCGTCAGCGGGCCTCCGACGATGGCGACGACAGCGGCGATGACGACGATCAAGTGGCGAACAAGATCGCAAAGTTTTGCATACCGCGCAATGCCTGCGCAGTATCGGGCACCACCCTGAAGCGCCACTCGCCTTCGGGGGCCTTGCTCGCCAGGAGCAGGGAAAGGCGCGCGCCCGTCCTGGTCGCGTGCCTGAAACCATCCTCGCCCCCGATACCGAGCCGCCTAATGAGTTTCCCAGCCTGTGCCATCAAGTTGCCGGCTGCCTCCACTTGAGCACGGCGCTGGGGAATGGTGATCATGCCAATGTCAGACGGTTTAATCAGCCCAATCAATGCAGCGCTTGCGAAGGGATTTGAATGCGAGCCGCGCGTGCGATGGAGCGCGCACGCGCTCGCAATGTAGATTTGCGCCCACATAACCCACTGCCCCTGATATGACCCCCCGGGGATGATAAAGTTCGGGGCCCCAGGGGATAATAAGCGCTTCCCCCGCAAATCCAGGCATGAAGAGCGTTGGGGGTGATGATGAGAACGGTAATGATTATCATGGTGATGATGGTGCTGGTGATGGTGATGATGAGAGTGATATCCTTGCCCGCGCTCTGCACGTCCTAAAGCTGGCCCGCGCTCTCGAGATCCTGGTAGTAGTCGTAATCGTACTGCTGTCGTTGCCGTCGCTCCGCTTATCACATGTGGACATATTATCAGATCTAGCATGCGTCGTCGAGCCGTCGATACAACGAGGGAGGTCGAGGGATGCGATGGCAAGCACTCTTCAATACCGAGCGCTCATGCTCCTAAAAGGGGGCCGACAAGCCCCATTCCCCTAAACCGGAACGGCGGTAAAGGAAAAGGGGTACACGTTCTGGGCTAAGCACGTGCAGCTCCTAAAGGGCCTCGGGATGCTGTTAAAAACCTGCGAAAGACTCCGAGGGCCCTCTAGATTCACACTTACCACGCAGTAGCTGGATAGCTAAGTGCGCCGAAGAGTGGTTGCTAGGTAAACTACAGCCCACTCGGCTACGTACTTAGCTAATCTCTATGACTAATTCAAAACATGGTGTACGTACGCTAACCGCTTAGTAAGCGCGATGGGCATCTAGGCAGGCGCCGCAAAAATACGGCCGATCCCCCCCCCTGAGCCGGGGAGGCCGTGCCCCGGCAGCAATGCCATGGCATGGCGTGCTCTGAACGGGCCAAGAATTTCCGTACCCTGGCAAGCGGCTCTGGGGTACGGCGGCTTCCCCTGGGCCGAGGAAGCCGTATCCCGAGGCCGCGCCCCAGCAGCCCTGCAAGGCTCGGCGGGTTTAGGCGTGCCCCCGAATTTCAGTACCCGGGCATGCGCTGCCAGGGTTCAGTGGTGTTCGCCCTTGGAGGGGGCTGGTGAGGCGTGGCGTGGCCGGGCCCGCCCGGAATGTCCTGATCCTGGCATGCTTTCCCGCGATACTCTGAATCCATAAAAAAAACTTTGGGCCCCCAGAATAACGGTGATAGAACTCTGGAACCCCCCAAACTTGGAAACAAGATTTTCCTCAACCGTATTGACGGATTGGGATCCCGCCAGTAATGGAACATTTTCTCCTCCACGGCAACCGCCGCACGGCAACGACGACGAAGACTACGACTACAACTACGACCATACGACTACGGCTACGTCTTCGACTACGATTGGTTGAAGACCACGACTACAACTACGAATACGACTGCGCTTAAGAATGTGACTACGACTACACGACGGCTCTGGCTACGATTACGACTACAACCGCGACGATGGTTACGACTACAACCGCGACTACTACAATCATGATTACGATCGCGAAAATCACGTCTACAACCATTACCACGGATCCCTCTTGCAATGCTCATGAAAAATTGTCACACATCCTCTCGCGTGCAGGGAAGCCCACAATCGATTATCCTGTGGGAGAAGGGAACCCAAAAAATGATCAAACCCGCCCATTAATGGAAAAAAAACCTCGGCCGAAGGGACGACGACGACGACTACGATTAGAAAAACGATTACGACTGCAACGACTACGGTTACGACTACAATCGCGACTACAATCGCGATTCAAGCCACTACTACAATCACGACTACAATCACAACCAATGATTCCGATTGCAGTCCTCCTGAGAAGATGCTCACACATCCTCTCAAGTTTTGGGCAGCCCACACTTGATTTTCTCTCGGAGACAAAGACAACATTATCTTGTCTGCCCAACAATAAAGGGAAAAGTATATCCGACCACAGGGAGGAGCATGAGGACGAGGAAGAGGAGGAGCAGGAGGGGAGGAGGGAGGGAGCAGGAGGAGGAGGAGGAGGACGAGGAGGAGAAGGAAGAGGAGGAGGGAGCAGGCGGAGGAGGAGGGGCGAGTTTGTTCCTTGCCGAAGAGGCTCTCAGGAGGCTTCCAAGAGGCCTCCTAAGAAGCCCCCCAAGAGATCAAAAAGGGCCTGCTATGATCCACTTGTACAGAACCCAAGCACGGTGGTTGGAGGCCAGCAGCTACAGGCAGCGGTAGCAGTAATTGGCGCAATCGTTGGTCCTCATCCTCGTTGTCGTCATCGTCGCAGGATCAGTTAACATCGTATCGAGGCATCAAACCGAATCAAAATTGGTCGGATCGGACTGCCTCGGCACGGAACCACATTCGAATATTATCGGCTGCGCGAAGATGCACGACCGCACCGTGCAAACATCGGGCAGCTTGGGATCGACGGATAATCGAAGTCGAGTCGCATCGAGCCAGCCAGAATCGATGTCGAATCGGATCGAACGGGTCATCATGGACCCTGGGTGGTCCTCGTCGTCGTCGTCATCGTTTTCGCCCTTGTCGTCGTCCTGGTCGTCGTCGTCGTCGTCCTCCTCCTCCTCCTCCTCCTCCTCCTCCTCCTCCTCCTCCTCCTCCTCCTCCTCCTCCCCGTCGTCGTAGTCGTCGCCGTGGTCCTCGTCGTCGTCGTCGTCCCCGTCGTCGTCCTCGGCCTCGTCATCGTCCTCGCCATTTCCGTCCTCGTCGTCGTAGTGGTTGGCGTCATCCTCGTCGTCCTCCTCCTCCTCCTCCTCCTCGTCGTCGTCGTCGCAGTCGCCTTCGTCGTCGCCGTCGTCGTCGTCGTCGTCGTCGTCATCGTCATCCTCGTCGATTTCAATCTCGTCCTGCTCTTCGTCGTCGGCGGGGCCCCTCTGGGCATGGCCTGCACCAAGCCGGCCCGCCTTCGCGGCCACTCGCGCGGTCGCCCGTGCGCTCGCCGCGCTCGGCCGCGAGGGCAGGACCAGCCTGCGCGGGCGCGGGGGTGCAAGGCTCCATGGGAGAGGACAGGCTACCCAGCGTCGGCGTGGCTCTTTTGACACTAAGGTCGCATGCCCATCAGCGGCTGCTGTTGGGTTGGGGCAGAATGTCCTGCCTGGTATCGTACAGTTTTGCCGTACCAGCCGTCGCAGACGCGGCAACTCCTGGGAGGTCTTCGTAAGAACGGCCCAGGGCTGTGACGCCCAATCAGGTTACCCGGGTTCGCAGAACCCGAGGAGGCCGAATAAAACTCAAAATCTAACCCGACTGCATCAAATAAGCCGGGATTGGCAGGCATTAGACACGGCTACGGACATAACCGACTGCCCCCCACATTGAACTCCAGGCAATCGAAAACTCGAGGTCTATGGGGATAATAAACGCTTCCCCGGCACATCGCAACATAAACGACGTTGCGGGTGATGATGATGGGGATGATGATGATGATGGTGATGAGATCCTTGCCCGCATTCAGAACATCCTGGAGCTGGCCCTCGCTCTCGAGATCCTCATAGTAGCAGTAGTCGCATGCGCAAGAATACTCGTAGTAGTGGTGGGGGTGGTGGTCGTAGTAATAGTAAATAGTAGTAGTCGTCGTCGTCGCCGAAGTAATAATCGTAGTTGTAGTAGTCGTAGTAGTAGTAGTAGTAGTAGTAGTAGTAGTAGTAGTAGTAGTAATAATAGTAGTAGTAGTAGTAGTAGTAGATGCAGTAGCAGTAGTAGTAGTAGTAGTAGTAGTAGTAGTACTAGCGGTAGCAGAAATAATACTAGTAGAAGTAATAGAAGTAGTAGTAATAGTCGTAGTAGTAGTCGTAGTAGTAGTAGTAGTAGTAGTAGCAGTAGTAATAAAAGTAGTAGTAGTAGTAGTAGTCGTAGTAGGAGTAGTAGGGGTAGGAGTGATAGTAATCGTAGTAGTAGTAGTAGTAGTAGTAGTAGTAGTAATGATAGTAGTCGTAGTGGTCGTAGTAGCAGTAGTAGTGGTAGTAGCCGTAGCAAAAGCCGTAGCAGTAGAAGTAGTCGTAGTAGTAGTAGTAATACTGGTCGTGGTCATCGTAGTAGTGGTAATAACCGTAGTAATCGTAGTACTGGTCGTCGTGGTGGAAATAGCAGTAGTATTAGTAGTAGTAGTAACAGTAGTCGTAGTAGTAGTAGTAGTAGTAGTAGTAGTGACAGTAGCAGTAGTAGTAGTAGTACTAGAAGTAGTAGTAGTAGTAGTAGTAGTAGTAGCAGTACTGGTGGTAGTAGTAGTAGTAGTAGTAGTAGTAGTAGTAGTAGTAGTATGCGTACTACTAGTAGTAATAGCAGTAGTCGTAGTAGTAGTAATAACAAAAGTAGGAGTAATACTAGTAGTAGCAAAGGTAGTAGTAGTAATCGTAATAGTACTAAAAAAAAAAGTAGTAGTAATAGTGACAATCGTCGTAGCAGTGGTCGTAGTAGTAGTAGTAGTAGTCGTAGTAGTAGTAGTAGTAGTAGTAGTAGTAGTAGTAGTAGTAGTAGTAGTAACAGTAGTCGTAGCAATAGTAGCACCAGCAGTCGTAGTAGTAGTAGTAGTAGTAGTAGTAGCAGCAGCAGCAGCAGCAACAGCAGTAGTAGTAGTAGTATTGGTAGTAGTAGTAGTAGTAGTAGTAGTAGTAGTAGTAGTAAAAGTAGTAGTAGTCGTAGTAGTCGTAGTAGTAGTAGTGGTAATTGTAGTAGTAGTAGTAGTAGTCGTCGTCGTACTCGTCGTAGCGATATTGATCGTAGTAGTAGTAGTAGGAATAGTAGTAGTAGTAGTAGTAGTAGTAATAGTGGTAGTAGAAGCAGTAGTAGTAGTAGTAGTAGTAGTCGTCGTAGTGGCAGTAGTAGCAGTAGTAATAGTAGTGGTAGAAGTAGTAGTAGTAGTAGGATTCGTAGTAGTACTAAAAGTAGTAGTAGTAGTGGTAGTAGTAGTAGTCATAGTGGTAGTAGTAGTAGTAGTAGTAGTAGTAGTAGTGATAATAGTAGTAGTAGTGGTAGTAGTAATAGTCGTAGTAATAGTAATAGTAGTAGTAGTTCAAGTAATAGTAGTAGTAGTGATAGTAGTAGTAATAGTAGTAGAAGTAGTGGAAATAGTAATCGTAGTAGTAGTCGTAGTAGTAGTAGTAGTAGTAGTAGTAGTGGTGGTAGTAGTAGTAGTTGTGGTAGTAGTAGTAGTAGTAATAATAGTAAGGGTGGTGGCGGTGGTCGTAGTAGTAGTAGTAGTAGTAGTAGTAGTAGTATAGTAGTAGTAGTAGTAGTAGTAGTAGTAGTAGTAGTAGTAGTAGTAGTAGTAGTAGTAAGAGTAGTAGTAGTAGAAAAATAATAGTAGTAGTACCACTTCTACCAGTACGACCACTACCACAACTACCACTACACATACCACTACCATTACTACTACGAGTACTACTACGACGACGACGACTACTACTACTACTACTACTAGTACTACTACTACTACGATTACAACTGCGACTACTACGACTACTGCGACTACTACGACGACTACCAGTACTACTTCTACTACTACTACTATTACTACTACCACTACTACTACTACTACTACTACTACTACTACTACTACTACTACTACTACTACTACTACTACTACTACTACTACTACTACTACTACTACTACTACTACTACTACTACTACTACTACTAACTACTACTACTACACAACAGCAACAACAACTACTACTACTACTACTACTACCTACTACTACTACTACTATCACTACTACTACTACTACTACTACTACTACTACTACTACTACTACTACTACTACTACTACGACTACGACTACGACTACGACTACTACTACTACTACTACTACTACTACTACTACTACTACTACTACTACTACTACTACTACTACTACTACTACTACTACTACTACTACTACTACTACTACTACTACTACTACTACTACTACTACTACTACTACTACTACTACTACTACTACTACTACTACTACTATTACTACTACTATTAGTGTGCCAGTAGTAGTACACCCCCGTGGAAACATGGATAACACAACCAGCGTAAGGATGGAAACCGAAAGTATGTTGAATCCGACCAGGCGGGGCCCATTACATCGAGCGACATCCGCCTGTCAATGTTGCGGAAAAACGAACCGCGTGCACTGCGCATTGCATGTTCGACATCCGACCAGCAGGAGCGAGACCGCAAGGCAGAACGTGGGACCGCCCGCGCCATCGGCCCTGCGAAAAATGAGATTGGAAAAACACCCGGGCATTGAGTGGCGTCCGATTCCCAATGTTGCCACTGGGTGCGCAAGCCAAAATGTGGCATATCAATGACATGGCCCATGGTGCACGCGTGCGCGCGGCCAACATTGAAAGGCGAAATTCACGGAATGATCCTCTTTGGGCGTTGCCGTCTGCATTTCGTTCACGATGATCGCATTACCGAGTTTGTTATAATTGTTTCCGCGGGCGGCGTGTATGTCGAAACTGTTCGGGCGTGCTCCAAGCGTTCTGGCGGCAATTGCCTCATGGCGCCGGCTACCTCTGCCAGTCGGGCAAATTGAATGGGAACCGCGCGGCACCTGATACATAAAATTGCACCTGGGCGGCAGCCGTGGACTGTCGTGGCTTCCCTGGGAGGCGAGGGGGGGGGCGAAGGAAAAAAACATGAAGATGCACAAGAAGAGGAAAACGAGGAGGGAGGAGGAGCAGGAGGATTAGACGGAAGAGGCGAATGGGGATGCTGATGATGTTTCGGCGGAGGAGCGCCAACTAAGAAAAGGCCGGCGATGTGGCGAGAACGCATGTCGTCTTCGTCGTGGTCGTCGTGGTCGCCGCCGTCGTCGTGGTCGTCGTCGTCGTGGTCGCCGTCGTCGTGGTCGTCATCGTCGTCGTCGACAACGTCGCCGTGGTCGTCGTCGTCGACGCCCGCCGTTCCTGGCAACAACGGGTGCGTTTTGGGCCTGGGGCCTAAGGCCCGCCTATCGCTGTCGGACGCAACTCCCTACTGGGCGGGAGCGGGCTCACTTTGAAAACCCGTTCGTGGCGGTAAATGAATGATGTCTGGCGAAAATATTTAACAATGGGACGCGGGCGGGTTGAGGTTCACCGTTCAAAATCATATGCGGGACGCGCTTCCCGTTGCCACGGGACCCCACTTAACGATCGGGCGGTGGCAGGTCTAGTGTGTACGATTACACACGGGACGAGATTCGCCTAAAACGGCGTGCCCTGGCGTGCCAACTTTTCGATTTCCCCCCTCCCCCCGCCCGCGTTCCGCGTGTGAAGCAAGGACTAGAAACACCAATCGTAAAGTGAAACAGATCGAGTAAAAGACGAGAACATATGTTTCACTTCTACATAGCAACCAGTTCCCACTTTACGATGGATGTTTCCCGTTCCACCTGTTCAACACACCAGACACGAAATACATTAAAAAAATAAAACAACAGAAAAAAAAAACCTAAAGTGGGCACGCCGGGGCACGCCACTTTACGCGAGGTGCGTTCTGTGTATGGATTTACACACCAAGCCCGCACCATCCCGATCGTTGTGGGATTGCCAGGCGACCTAAACTGCACCCCGTGTGTATTGACATGATAAAACCCGCCCCCCGCCGGATCGTCAACATGGTTCGTTGGACAACGCCTCACAGGCCCCACTGGTCTCGTCAGTCCCACAGGTCCCGCAAGCCTCACAGGTCGCACAAGTCTCACAGAACCCACAAATCCCGCAGGCCCCACAAATCTCGCAGGCCCCAACAATCCAACAAATCCCACAGGTGCCACAGGTCGCACAAACCCCGCGGGTCCCACAAGCCCCACAAATCCCTCAAAGCCCGCAGGTCTTTCGCAAGTCCTAACAAGGCCGACCTTTTGCACAGGTCCCACAAGTCTTACAGACCCCACAGCCCCCGCAAGTCTCGCAGGTCACACAAGTCGCACAGGTCCCGCAAAACCCACAGATCCCGCAAGTCGCCCAAGTTCCGCATGTCTCGCACGCCC